GATCCTCTTGTTAATGGGACACTAACTGGTACCTCTAATGGTGTTGCCGTGGTAACTATTAATCGCTCATCTGGTGATCTAGCTGGTAGTGGGGGGTTGTTGTGATTGGTACGTGCTAGTGGGTGTGGTCACCACGCCCACTCTTTTTTATAGACTACTAATTGACTTCATATTTCCTTTATAAATATACTTTTAAGTTATTAAATTATTGTTGTACATATTAATTATTATTTAATTGTTTATATTCATTTTTGTTCCTCTCTCTTTACTCATTCACTATTATTGTCACCATTATCTCAGTCTCTTTCTTGTCCCTTTTCTCTCAGTTCCTCTTCTCCTTTTTTCATCAAATTCTTTAATTTGTTAATCGTGTTACTCTGTCAGTTATATACAAACATTAAGATAGTGAATTAACAGTAGTCCATGATGAGTATTACCATTCATCATGGAGTCTACTGTAATTAATTAGATGCTAGCGTTCACAATTCACATAATGTTGTCTACTTGTCATTATAGCAGAGAGATGAAGAGTAAAAATGAAAAATGGCTTAGTTTATGCTATATGTCTAGGGCATTATTCAGACATGAATATTCTGTTGTGACCAGATATGCATGCTGTGGAGCTCATTACTTGTGGTAACAAACATACAGCAGACCGTTCCCTAGCATACATGGACAGGAGTGCACATATCATACACTTATCACTGTTATAGAATTGATGTGGCTTGCAAGACTATGTAACACTATGTTTGGTAATAGATACATCCCAAATACGCCTCCAAAAGAAGTAATTAAGTTATGGCCTCTCCCCTTTTACTGTGTAACAGAAATACACCCCTTCTGACTGTTACATGCTGTTTGCTTGTGAACATTATGTCACATTAGTCTGAACATATAGTTTAAAGTTACAAAATAGACAACTATTAGTATTATGGTATCGACATGATTTCCTTAAAACTAGATTTAGCAGTTTATACATTAGTCTTATAGTGTGTAACAAAGAAGCCTCATCACTGATTAGGTTACATTATATGTCATCAGTCACATGAATGTTATTATAACAGACCTGGACTTCCTCTAGCTTGTGGTGAGCCATTCAAGTAAACGTTGTGCTTCTTTATAGAAAAGGTTTTTTCTTTAAAGTCCTTCTTTCTTTATTGTGGTGTAAGTGATCACTGAAATAGCTACACCTTAAGTTACCTAATTCTCTCATTGTCCTCCATACTATAGTACAAGATGATTGATGTCTCTCAATGGAGAGCAAGTATTGGACTGTGGAACTACTGTCAAGCTGCCTCCAGTAGACCAGCTAATGGCCACCACTCTCACTCATTCAAAGCTGCAGTAGACACCAAGTCAGGCAGTACTACATCAGGAGAAAAGACATCTAAACTGCCAGCAGCTCTGTCTTTTATTCTTTCTCTTCTTTTATCTTTAGTAAGATATATGAAGCTCAATTTTATTCCTCCAACTGGTAAACAAACTATATAACAGTATATAATATTATCATACAGTGTATTTACAATAGGTATAATTACTGTTACTGTTATGATCCACTACCTCCAGTCATTAGTCTTGTTTATGGCTACTATTGGTAGTAGCTCTGACCTGATCTACTATTTGGATTTACTTTTTCTCCTCCTCTTATCAGGAGATGTTGAACTCAATCCTGGTCCTATGATTGATGATCAACCATCTTGTCCCTTATTTGCAAAGTATCTTGAACCACTTGATGATTGGGAACCATTTGCTTTTTGTCTTCCTGGTGAGATAACACAACTTGATGTTGATATAATTAAAACAAAAGGAAGCTCTTACCTCAGGATGGAGACATTACATAAGAGATGGTTACAAGTTAATCCTACAGCATCATGGAGAGATGTCATTAATGCTTTGAAACAATGTAAAGAGAATGAACTAGCTAGAACTATTGAAAACAAAGTGAGAGATCCCACAGCTGGAAGAAGTACTAATGATGATATGGAAGTCAGTACCAGTAATGCTAATCCTAGTCCTATAACAGGTAAGCATACACTTTGCAGTGGTAATTTAGTATTATCAATTTTTTATTACAGAAGAGGAGCTTGATATGAAAGCAGTGACAAAGATATTTGATTCTTCTGCTCACCATTACATGCTAATAGGAGCTGGATTGCATGTGAATGTATCTGATCTAATGCCAATACCAAGAGCAGCAACTGATAATCTTATTATTGTATTCCAGAGGTGGTTTGATGCTAATAAAGATGTCAATTGGGATACATTAATAAAACTCTGTGATGACTTTCCTGATCAACTGAGCAAAGCAAAATATAACCTTCTGGCACACATAGGTAAGAAGCTTTAGGTAAAATATAGATAAGTTGCAGGAGATTGCACTATCTTTTAACAAGAGTAAAATTGTAATTCTACCCTACCTTCCTTATAAAGGAGTAACGGCTACATTGCTATCTAACTAAAACTCTTGCAATCTCCTGTAAAAAGCTAGCCAAGTCCCTGATAAGTCAATTTGAAATTTGTATCTTGATCAATAGGCCACTGTCAGTCGGCTGTAGCTAAACCCATTAGTTCAATACCTGATGATGTTCAAGGATATGCTGACAATATGAGACAACACTACAAACACCAACCTATTGTTGCTACAGACTGGCCACCAAGAATTGGAAAAAATTACTTTGGAAGACTAGTAGAAAAACAAGACTCCACCACACAAGCGGAATCAGCTTGGCATATGCTAAGAGGACAAGTTGATACAACAGTTAAACTAACTGGAAACAAAGAGATAAGTGTTGAAGATATCCTCCAACCTACAGATAGTTCTCTGTCTCTCAGAGTAGTAATAGATGGTCCTCCTGGTATTGGGAAGACCACACTCTGTCGTAAACTGTTAAATTTGTGGTCTAATGGAACACTTGGACCCCAACAGTATGACTTGGTACTTTACTGTCCTTTAAGGAATAGCAAGATAGCTACAGCTACTACACTAGCTGACCTGTTTGAGTATAGACGTTATGAAGTTCCCATGGTAGCTGAATGGTTTGAGAAGAGGAATGGAGAAGGATTACTGATAATCTTTGATGGTTGGGATGAACTAAGTGAACAACTCAGACAGTCTTCATTAGCTGCTAGTATCATTCATAGAAAGGAGTTACCCAAATGCTCAGTAATTGTTACCTCTCATAGCTATGCCTCCTCTTCACTTTTGAAAATGGATACTCTCAGTAGACATGTTCAGGTCATTGGGTTTTCTAAGGAAGATATATCAACAGTAATTATACAAACACTTCAAAACAGTAAGGACTCACAACTAGCAGTGAAACTTATTAATGATCTTGAAGTACGAAATGATGTCCAGTCATTGTGTTATGTACCACTAGTCTGTTCCATGGTCATCTTAGTTTATTGTAAGGAAGAAGGACACTTACCAACAACACTCACTCAACTCTATGAGAACTTTATCCTACAAACTATCAGAAGACATGTGGAAATAAAACCAAGACATGACACTGACCCAAATACTTTAGGTAGTCTTTCTTCATTACCATCACAATTAGCTAAACCTTTACAAGAGATGTGTCAATTAGCTTATACTAACCTTGCTAATACAACAATGACATTCTCTTCACATCAACTACAGTCACTGAGTGAGGCAGTTAAGGAAGACTATCTTGGACTGATGACAGCATTTATGGAATATTCTAAACAAGAGTATCAGTTCCTTCACTTGAGTATACAGGAATTTCTAGCTGCATGGTGGATAGCTAAGCATGAGAAGAAGACAGAGGAAGTTTTTAAGGATCACTTTGATGATGATCACTTTCGAATGTGTCTGAAGTTTGTGGCAGGTCTAACTCACCTTGAACATGAGAGCTATCAGCAGTATTTTAATAAACAACAACTGGACTTACAGTGTAAGAGGAAACCATTGTTTGGATTTGAGTCTTGTCATCTCTCCTACTTCTATCAAAATCCTGAGATTAGAATAAAGCATGATCCAGGGAATAGAATGTATACAGATCATGTCAGTCTCAGACCTGGTAATTTTGACCATGTTCCCATTCTTCTTCAACTTTTGTATGAATCACAGAACACAACATTATGTCAAGTATTAGCACAATCCATTAATCACTCACTGTGTCTGTATGGAGTATCATTATCATTGTTTGACTGGTTGTGTCTCAGTTATTGTATAAACAATTCCAACACAACATGGAATCACTTGCACCTGGGGACTGTATCTAACCAGTCACTATCAGTCTTCACTGCTGGACTAATCAATAACTCACTACAGACCCAGTGTAAGAGACTGGTGGTAAAGTTGTTTGGACCCACTGATGAATTAATACACAAATTATTACAACCATCACTTCTATACAATATTCAGGAGTGCTACTGTGAATTTACATTTGGTCAATATGTTCCCTGTCTTGTTTTGTTACATTTCCTCAATCTTCCTCAATTGAAGATACTGCACTTAAGTATGGGCCGTTCTACTATACCAACAGTTGACAATACATACTACACAGACAAGTGCACTGAACTTGAGAAATGTATAGAAATAAATTCAACACTACAAGAAATGAAGATTAGGAATAATGAATGGAAGGATGAAATAACAAGTAGTAGATCTACCATTACCAGTGTCATTAGAGGAGTAGCAAGAAATAAAACAATAACATCATTAACAATAGATGTACATGCTCCTCCTCATCCTCTACCTGATGGAGTAATAGAGCAGTTACTAAAGGACAACAACACATTAAAAGCTCTTTCACTGAAGATACCTGATGAACTCCTACCATCATCACTGAATATAGTAGAGGTGAACACACCACTGACTGCTCTAGAGATAGGAGGAGAATGGAATATTAGTAAACTGATGACATCATCACTCCTTCCACATATCAAAGGATTACACTGTTTGATACTACATGATGATCCATACCCACTACATCTATTTCTCTCTCATCCCAGTCTACATACACTTACTTTACCACTAGACACAGCTGAGAGTGTTATTGAACTATTCACTATTCTACAAACCAATACTACACTTGAAGCTCTGAGTGTGGAGATAAAGGAGAGAGTATATACCAGCAGTATGGGTACTAGTCTACAAGACATGCTAACACAAAACCAAACACTGAAATACTTTAATATTGATAAATTTAGTCATGACATTTCATTTAATAACATTGCCATTCCCAGTTCATTCCTGTCCTTCCTAACAACTGGTCTCAGACACAACACCAGTCTACAGCAGTTGAGTGTATCCATTCCACTGAATGAAGAGATAAGAAATTTTATTAATGTCATCTCTCAAAAGGACAATCTCACAGAACTTCAAGTGTACTTCCAACTAGATCAGTCATACAGTAACTGTAGTAGGGAAGAGAAGAAACAAATAATGACACTATTGTTTTATGAACAGTTACTACCTGCTGTTACTAACATGTTACAGTCACATACAACCATCAGACTACTGAGGATAGAGTGTAGAGATATTAATGAAGAGTCATCTCAACCTAACTGGATAGAACTAGTACAACATTTATATGAAACCATCTCCATCCATCCATCACTTAAATATATTGGAATTTATACAGGGTACCTTTCTCCTCGTCTCCTGATAGATATTTTTAATGACCAAAAGAAAACATTGATTGATAGACACAGAAAAATACAGCCTTTGACACAACTTTTAATAGTTAGTAATTCTACTGCTATTTTCTTGGACAATTTCTCAGCTATAGAGTTTGAGGAAAGTCTCAAAAATGCTCTAAAGGAAGATTTTCTTAATTATAATGTAAGTACAGCTATTGTTCAGGGAGAAGCTCGAGTTGGTAAAACCTGTCTTAAATCATTGATTTTATCTTTATCATATGATAGTGTAAGCACCCCAGTTATTGAAGCACCATTTGTTGCATTTGGAAATTTCTCTATTGATTGCTATGGTAGTACTAAAGGTAAGTGGACATCAGTTAACAATGATGAAATGGATGATAAAGTTATTGCTGAATTACAAAAGCATGCATTGGATAGAGGAAATAAAATCAATGCTAAATCAAGTAGATCAATATCTCAGGAATTGTCTAAAAATGAAGAACATGTTTCGCCATTTCATGCAATTGTAGATGATTTAGTTGAAGCAACACAGCAAAGTATGGAAACAAATGAAATTAATGATTATCAAGAAAGTGAATTAGAATCAAATAATGCAATACTTGATGGTGATTTAGTACATGATGATATTGCCGACCAACAACCCTTCTCAATATCTAATAATGTTTCAGCTCACAGGCGAAAAGTTACAAGTAGATTATCTCAAAGTTTTAATCCACTTGAGTATTGCAAAAAATGGTGCAAAATTGATAAATTTGGTTCTCACAGAGAGTGGCTGTATTTCATTGATTCTGGAGGTCAGCTTCAGTTTCAAAAGCTATTACTAGCTTTTATGCCTCACACTTCTGTTCTTATTCTAGTGGTCAATTTATCTAAAAATTTCTCTGATAAATCGTGTACAAAGATGGAATGTCCTGGTGAAACAATTGATTCAGGCAATGGTTATTCTCTCAAAGTTGAAGATATGCTAAAACAAATTCTTTCAGCTGTAGCTTCTAATGCACAAAAGGCAACTTCCATAATTGATGACTTTCCTTGGATTGAACGTAAAGGGGGGAAACTGCTTAATGTATTGACAGTTGGCACACACCTTGACAAATATGATAAAAAACGAGAAGAGTTTGAAGTTGAATCTTTGGAAGAAAAAAGAGATGGATTAAGAATGATTTTAAATTCTGTTAGCAAATCTATTCAAATAGTTTATGCTCCACCTCCTCCACGTAAAAACCCAATTCATGTAATTGATGGTCGTAAAGCTGAAACTGATGAATCCAATGATAAAATTGTCAAAGTAATTAAAGCTGAAGCTGATGAATCCAATGATAAATCTATAGAAATAATTGCGAAAAGCTTAAAAGACCAGTCATATGAAATCAAAGTACCTCTACGATGGCATTATTTTGGCGTTATTCTTCGTAAGCAATCAAAGGAAACCAGTGGGATATTGCATTTGTCTTCATGTGAAGATTTTGGAGAAATGCTACAAATGAAACCTCAAGAAGTTCACAATGCCCTAAAGTTTTTCCATATACTAAAAATGTTATTTCATTATGATGATTCACCAGCAAAGGACATAGTGTTTGTGAAATTGGATGGTCTTATTAGCATTATTAAAGAATTAATGGATGCCATAACTGAATTTCGAAAATTGAAAGGTTTAGAAAGAGAGCAAAGACAACTAGCAACAGTAGGATGTCTTTCAATTGAAAATCTCAAGTCAACTGTTTCTTTTAAAATAATTTCATCAATATTTAATAATGATGATGACTTTGTGTCAAAAATGCTTTTGGGTCTGTTTCAACATCTTGACATTGCTGCACAGCTTTCAGAAACAGAATTTTTAATGCCAGCACTTCTTCCTCTTATTGATATATCTGACACTGAGGTAGCTACTCTTGAAACAATGCCTTTACTTTTCTACTTTAAAGATAGAGCTGTTCCTATGGGCCTCTTTTGTGCTGTTATAGTGCATCTTCTCTCAGACTCTTGGAGAATTACTTCCAGGAAAGGAAATTATTCTAATTTTTTTACATTACAAAAAACAATGGAAACTTGTCGAATAATAAACTTAACTCTGGTAGAACAGCTTGATTGCATTGAAATACATTGTGAAAAAACTGCTGATAGAATCAAAGTTAAAGATGCTGTAGAGAAATCTATAAATGAAGTTATGAAGAAGAAAAATATTGATGATGAGTTACCAATTCTGGCATTTTATTGTCTGCCACAATGTGGTGATGGAAGAGATCATAAAGTTACAAAAACGGAAGATGGCATTATTTGTGAGGAAACCAACCAAGATTTCCAAACAAATGAAGAGTATTGTTCTTGGTTTAGAAGTCAGCAAGATAAAAATGATAATTGTGAGTAAAAAGTATGCTGTACTGCTTTTATATATTATATTATAGGTACAAAAGTCCTTACCATTGGTGACTTGAATCATATAATAGGAATATTAGACAACAATGGCTTTCCAAGTCACAAATGGCATAAACTTGGAGTAAAATTAAATATAGACTATGATCAGTTAGAAAATATTGAAAAAGATAAAAAAGAAAGCTATGATTGTTATTGCAAATGTATTGCAGTGTGGTTGAAAACTGATGCTAAACCAACATACAGCAAACTAATTGATGCTGTTGGATCTAAAGGTACTGGTGAACCTGCTGTAGCTGCTGCCATTAAAGAACATTTAAGTGCAACATAATTTTTGGTGCTATATAGGAATTTTTTGTTTGTTTTCTTTACATTCAAGTCGTAAGCTAACTAGGATTATAGATTTTTCATACATGTAGTTGTACTAGTCTCTCATTTGGTAACTCATAGCATCATTTGACTATTCTTTTGTTTCACTTTCTTATTTTTGGTTTCTATCTTTTTCCCGAGTCTCTTCTACTTTTTGTTTTGGTTTTGCACATCCTTTATGCAATTTTTGGTACTTCAGTTTGCATATGTAATTGCTATGTTATTTTTGCTTTTATGCTATATTTTAAGAATAATAATATCAAACAGTATCCACATTAATTAACAATTATCTTAGCATTGTCATTGTCCAATGTATTATTATTATCAAATAATTCCTTTTCCTTTCCTAACAGCTTTAACAATAATAAAAGTAACAACAGCCACTACTATTATAACTATTAATACTATTACAATAATTAGTTTGATTGATCTCTTCTGATGCTTCTCATGTATAACTAATCATTACTTGTGATATTTCAGCAGTTAGTATGTCAATGTTGTGTTCTTCTTCAACCTCATCAAACACATCAGGTCTTGTACTGTGTTTATCCTGTAACTCCTCCAACTCATGCACTGGAGAATGGAGAGGGAGGGAGGGAGAGGCAACCAGGGCAAACGTGTCATGAGAGCCACCATGTCTAATGCCAATATTTTGGGTAGCTTACTATTATGTACTACTAGGTGTACTAGTTGTAAATAATACTAGACACACGTGTCAAACATTAAGGCATTTTTTACACGTGCTTGTGGCAATAGCTGCATGATGCATGCTTCAAGTTCAGCATGCTATATAAAGAGGTCCTTTTTGATGCAGTGAGCAAGTTACAACTAAAGGTAAATCACAATGAAGACTCTTGTATTCTTCTTTATGACTCTCAGTGTTTGTGTTCTGGCTATGCCAAGTATGTCAATAGCTGTATGTGTTAGTGTATGTTCATTGTATGTTATTTCTATGATAGGCACAAAGTCTTACAACAATGATCATTACAGGTATAATGTATTGTGCGTATACTATTGTACATTACCGTATAGCTCCAAATTTTCGTTGGTCAAAATTTTTTTCAAATTTGTCAGGTACTTTTGCTTGACGAAATTTTAACCGACAAAATTTTTGTTCCACGTGGGTAGCATGTGGATTAATAACAAAAATGTCAAAAATTTCATTGACTAAAATTAATTTTAACAAGAAATTAAGATTTTGACGAAATTTTTGACTGCAAAAATTTGGAGTTATACGGTATTTATGTGACCTTAGAAACATAAACAAAGTAACAAACATGAATAACGAGACTTCACCACCAGGAGAAGGGAGATCGTTTGTACATACAAGTATTTTTGTTTCTATTGAATTAAAAAGTCATCATTACAATTTAAAGGTATTGGAGTACTTGGTATACGAATCAAAGCTGAAGGAAACAATCTTGTGTTTACACAGATAACATCAAAAAAGGCTGTGTTGATGGTAAGACTTTTGCAACTAGAGTCTGTACTGCTTCATTCCATTTGTAGCTAACAAAGCATGTGGAGCAAAAGTTGGTGGATTTTCTATTGGCTGTGCTGATGATGAGGAGCTGTTTATTGAAACGATGCTATAAGAAATGTTCACTCCTTGCTAATGAA